TGCGAATTTTCGGCACATATAGCACATTGTTGAGAGTCAAATCTTTTTTCGAGGTCATCTTCGGAACTACCTTTCCTTGTTACTTGATTTCAGAAGTTGCTGAATTTCCCATGAACAATTTTTTCCCATTCTCAATTACTTCAAATGCAACAAATAGCTAATTATCAGAGCATACATGCCTCGTAGCACCGGTGTCAATCCACCACTCCTTAGGGTTTGAACCTACCATGTTTATTTCAGAAATGACAGCTGAGAGATTCAGCTTCAACACATCTTGTGCTATGTAGTCAACCACATTTGCTTCTTTCTTTTTCTTTGGCAATTTGCACTCCGAAGACTTATGATCCAATTTGTCACAATTGAAGCATTTTCCTTGAAATTTCTTCTTAGAAATTCCACATTTCGGTCCTTGCTTGGTCCTTTTGCCACCAGATAGTACAGACTTGTTTTCATAGTTCTTACTACTTTCACCATGCTCTACAACATTAGCTTTAGCAGCACCAGGATTGAACCACTTCTTTTCGGAACTCTTGTTGTCTTCTTCAATTCGAAGTCTAATAATTAATTCTTCGACGTTCATTTCCTTTCGCTTGTATTTCAAATAATTCTTGAAATCCTTCCATGTGGGGACAATTTTTCAATAATTACAACAACTTGAAAAGTTTCACTCAAAATCATCCCTTCGGTATGAATTTCGTGAAGAATCACTTGGAATTCTTGCACTTAACTGATAACTGTTTTGGAGTCCACCATTTTATAATCTAAGAATTTGCCGACAATGAACTTTTTTGCATCAGCATCCTAAGTTTTATAAAGACTCCCACAGTTCCTTAGCAGTTTTCTTAGTATTATACACATTGAATAGCGTGTTTGCTAAACTCTTCATAATATAGTTTCGGCACAGAAAATTCAAGTGGTTCCAAGCATCAAGTGCACTGATTGCTTGAACATCTTCTTCACCCTCATTGAGTTTTGGAGCAGTCTCAATCAAAAATCTCGCAAGATTCAAAGTGGTCAGACAAAATAACATTTTCTGCTGCCGCCTTTTGAAATTCAAGTCATTCAATTTCTCCGATTTTTCTCCATGATTAATTAGAATATTAACGGTATGGCCAGTAGTATGAGCCACTGTTTGACTCACAACATAAATTAGCAATTTAGCCCCAGTCTGAGTCATAACAGAGTTTGGCTCTTGAGCCACAGCTGAGCCTATAGCCTGATTTCCAGTAGGCACAATTTTGGTCACATCCATGTTGGTCGATTCGGTTGCCATTTCTGAAAATCAAACAAAAAAAATTAGTTTCCAAAATTAACAGTATAAGAAACTAATTTTTTTCTCAAAGAATCTGTTTTAAATTTGTTGGAATATAGTGGTATTAATGAAATCGGATTATTGCATACCGTATATATAGTTTATATACCGATTTTAAGCATACCGTATATCCAATATATTATATATGCAGCTTACCGTATTTACATCAAGCTTACCGTATATGCAGTTTACCGTATTTGCAGGCAACTTACCGTATTTGATAGCTCACTGCATATGGCAGTGCAGCTCACTGTATTTGGCAGCGAAGCTCACCGTATATACATAAAATTAGCACAAACTATTTTTATTAAAATAACACAGATTTTTTTTTCAATAGAAAAATCGTATATGTAACATATATATACCGAATTGCATTTACCAATCGTTAGCAAGAAAATCATATATATATATATATATATATATATATATATATATATATATATATATATATATATATATATATATATATATATATATATATATATATATATATATATATATATATATATATATATATATATATATATATATATATATATATATATATATATATATATATATATATATATATATATATATATATATATATATATATATATATATATATATATATATATATATATATATATATATATAAGTAAATTGCAAAATATATGAATCTAGTAAATTGCAAACGTGTAAATCGCTAAATAAATAAATAACTTACAAGAATAAACTACAGATATGCAAATTGAAGAAGATAAATAAAATTTCAACCCGAGGCCTGTGCAAGCATAGTTTCCTTAAAAGGTATTCGCCCCCTTACCGTAAGTGCTTGAGGTCCAATCCGAGCGTCTATTTATCAAGATACAACGGTAAAACCTGTAGTGTCTAAGCACCACAGAAACTACTCCGACGAACTGATACAATGCCTGAACAATATCACCACGACCAACCATTGGAGTTATATCAGTTTTTGGAGTTTCAAAAATTCAAAAGTCAGTGGAGAAAGCAAGAAAAAATTGCAAAACGTGGACTTTCCAAAGGGGTCAATTTTTGCTTCGTTCGGTCCGACATTCGTATACACAGGTCGCGCCCGCACACAAATTCAAGGTCCAAAGGCAATTTTGGTCCGAGATTTGCACCTCCTGCGTGTGCACGTGGAAAGAGTGTCTATGCTACACATGATTACACCATTCCAAAGTGTAATTCTATATAAAGTGGTTCTTACTTTCATATTTTTCCTATGTGGGTTTAACATCAATTTTTTCCCACATAACCATCTTTCAATGGTCATCTTTGAGCTCCAATTTCTCATTCACCCAACCTTCATTTTTGGTAAATAAATATATGATTTTGATGCTCTCATGGAGAAGAACACGTATCAACTTTCATATTCCAAATTAGATTAATGGGTTCCACCGAAAATCTTGCCAAAAGTGAGCAATTTACTCATTTTTTCCAACAATTTCTTCCCTTTTCTCACCATTGATGGCTATTTCACATTGAATAATCCTACAAAGAAATTAGAAAAAATCATATGGGTGTCTTTCTTAACTTGTATAGCATACGCAAATACAAAAAAATTACCCAACCCTAGCCACACCCTAAATAGAATGGTAGTTCTTTTAGATGGAATAAAATAATGATAAAGTACAATTTTTTTATGATACGTGCCACATTGGATTTGACTTTATCAAATCAAAGTTTTGGTTTATCTACTACTCTAGCCTACACCTATAAATACTAGGCAAGGATTTCATATTTTACCACACCAAAAAATATTCACACGTGAAAGAGAGAGAAGAAAGAAAGAGAGAGAGAGAGAAAGAGGAAAGAGTGTGTGAAAACAGAAATTTATCATACATCAACTATCACTGTCGATCAATAAATCGTTCACAGAGTAGAGGAAGGAATTTTGGAACGTGCATTCAAATATTTTTCGTGTACATTTCGATAACAAGGTAAGATACATTTATATGCAAAGTGTTTACGTTTCCTTATGCTCTTATATGCGATTAAATATGCATGGAATGCTAGTGGACCTTCGGGTTCTAGAGAAAGAGATATGAAATTTCTACATGGAAATTAAGAGGACCTAAGATGGGTGTGTCGCTTGGTCACCGATATACTCCATAAGAGAAGAGCGGTATGAAGTGTATTATTTATTTGTTATATACCTGTGTATGGAAATTTGCACGTATCTTACTGGGTATTTTTAATACTCACTCTTACATTAATTTTTCAGATTAGTTCGGGTCGATTGGAACAGTGGAGAATTGGTGATGCGGACTGCCAAGTGGATAAAAAATAGAGAAAAAGAAATAAGTGTGCCATTTTAAATTTAGCAATTTGTTTATTTTAATTTAGAACGCATTATTTGAATTACTTAGGAGTTTATGTTTATGGTTAGATACGCTTTCAATAAGTTTAATTTAAACGTTACAATTATTTGTTTATTGAAGAATTTTATATAGTTCCGCATTTTTTTTAATTAAAGAAAAATGAGTTTTCGTAACGTTCCCGTGTTTATGCTTAATGAAAAAATTGGGGCGTTACATAAAATATATTGAGATGCACCAAACACAATCTTAGGGAGGGATACAAATTTATTATCATTCAATTTTCAGGTTTTCCAAAAAATCAAACCAACTGATCCACCCTCACGCCTACTTACAAGTGTATTAAATGGAACCACTTGAAATTATTCAAAAGTTAATAATAAGAAAACGAACAAAGGATTGTAGAGAGAAAATATACCACCATTCATTGTACTCATTACCTCTCGAGCTCTCTTCACTGGGATATTATAAACTAATGACGCTAATATGTATTTATACTCCCTCCTACTCGGAATGGATAGAGATTTATCTTAAGCAAGTAGAATGATTCGCAAGAACGTAACATTTTAGCATCTTTCACAGGATTCCTACATATTGTGAAATCTTTGCAGACTTGCCACTAGAATCCTCTAAGGAGCTTTGTCCTATGCAAGTCTTTAGTATTATGCAGTGAAATCCATTTAATGAAATACAGTTGATAATATGTCGATTTGTACTCGAAAAATATCAATTTGCTAAATATGTCCTATGTCATTTATTCCATCATTTTTAAAATACTGTCTTTCCATCTATTAGAAAATGAATTTGATAACGAAAGTGAGGTGGAGAAAATTGTTAAATCAATTGAATTCTTTGGACCACTCCTTGAGGATCTTAGTCCCAAATCTGCATAAAAAATTAGAGTACTATTTCAGTATCACTATCTAAATCTAAAAGATTCTTCATCGAAAACTAACGTGCTTTAGCCACATAGATCCAAGAGCTTACTAATCATCCTCAAGTGGATTTACTTAGAGTCATTATTAGACTCGACGGATTTGAGTGATCCAACTCATTGATTTTAAAAAACGCATTGTCGTTTCTCAACTTTTAGTGATTTAAGAACAAATAATTGTTCAACTACAACACACACTGCTCTATAATACCCTGTTAAAACTAGTCATGAGTTTTAACTTGTCAACTTACTTGTTTAGAACTCATTAACCACTTGTCTCACATTGAGTTTTTTGAAGATTCACCAACTACGTACCGAACAAGAATCAAAAATACTTTCTTATCATAAAATAAAATTAAAATTTGTCACTCACAAGACTCATATTAAACTTGTTGAAAGGATAAATAATCAAAGTATATCTTTCCAACATCCATGAGAAGAAGAGTTAAGCCTGAAGAATTAGGCTTAGGAAATAATAGGGTCAACTCACACGTTGGGAGTTGTCATTACAAAATTATTGAGGTGGCCATCAATTTGTGTCATGCTAATGGCCCATCATCACCAATTTCCATTTATGTATTTTTTTTCTCGCAATAAGAAAAAATTGACGAATAGCATGTGCGGCACATCCAAAATGAATCTCAATCTCTGGTAATGAACAACCATTTCTTCTACTTCTAACCACCTCCCCATAAAGAAAAAAGTATAAATAAAAAATATTGGATAAAATTTGAAACTGAAAAATGTAATCTGGACATTTTATTATACAAATAATGAATAATAGAAATGAGAAAATTACATAGAGCAATCCTGACGAATTATATTCCCGGTTTCTTCTTCTTGTTGTTGTCATCTCTGTAATTTGCAAACCTGAAAATGAGGTTTGAAATTAGGGAAAATAATGATAATAATATAGGTGTTTGGTTTTATTTTTGGAATTCAAAGGAAAAGGAGAAGAGAGAGAATAACAACGAGGGAAGAAACAGTGGAGTGAGTTTTCAGTTGCACGGATTTGGAGTCCGAATGAGAAGCTGGTGGCGGGTTGTAGTAGTAGAAAGGGAAGTATGGAAGAATAGGGTTAGGTGGTGGCGGAGTGGTGTAACCATAAGGGTCTGTAGGTGGATAATAAGATGGATTAGCTGGAGGAGGTGGTGAGTAGTAATATACACCACCGCCACCAACACCATTGGGTGGTGAAGGTGGAGGAGCACAATTGAGCACACTTGATGGTGGTGGTGGAGGAGAAAAAATGGGTTGACATGGATCGTCACAGGAAGAACACATTTTGCAGGAAACTCGATCTTTCTCGATTGCAGTTACAGTTGACATTTCTTGAGAAAAATCACACAGGGAACTGAAAACAAGTGTCAACAAGAAGAGATGAAGATAATCCATTGATGAATGGGCTTGAAGAGAGAAATCCTCAGAAATGTGAAGGATTTAAAGTGTAGTTTGGTGTAATGGAAAGGGAAGCAAAGTGGAAAAGAGGGGTGGGGGTTACAAATTAGAATTGGGAGCATATGCATTGAATATTGATGGCCGTTACTTTCTTTTGTTTTATCCCATTATCATCAGAAGAGAGATAAGAGTGACAAATCATGTGTATTTTCCCATTTCTATATTCATTTTAGCTCCATAGAGTAATTTTTTTAAAAAAAAATAAATAAATTGATAAGTCTTTATTTTAGTTTTTTGAAATACAAAACCTAAGTACGCTTGGCTGCCCTGACTCAACTATAGAGGTAGCCATGCATGTTGGGACTATATTGTTTACATGTCGAAAAAATCAACCTAACATCGGTGTACATTTCAAAATCAAGTTCATATTACTATTTTCAAGTGTGAAAAATAAAATTTAACTAATCATGTTTATAAATATAAAAAAAGTCACAAATGGCTTGCGAGTGACTCGACTCAGCCCATTAAGGGGTGGTTTGGTGGGTTTCGTCGAGCTAGGGTATTGAAATCGAACTAGCTTGCGATTGGCTCGCTTCATATGCAAGCACGAGCTTGCTCGCATGGTGGGTCAAGCCGAATGGCTCCACTCAGCCCATTTGACTCCTTTACCACCAAAGGAACCATGTGGGCTTCGGATTGATTTTTGTTTAATGGGCTTAACCCAAATAATTTCAATACCCCCATAAACCCACCAAACCGTTTATTGCATAACCCACGAACCCCCAATTCCCACCACTTCTTTAATGTTTGGGCGGGAAAAATTAGCCTTCTTATGATCAGAACCCTTAATTTTCAAAAAAATTTCTCTGAGCCAAAATTTGAAATTGAAATTTTCTCATTAAAAGCAGAACAATTTCACTTGCATGTTCCCCTGAAAATTTAGTTATTCACAACAGCAATGGCCGTTTCAAAGAAGAATTCCACAACAAAGACTACCAGTTCCAGTTCATCGCCTTCAAACCTCCACCCACCATACCTTCAGGTACTCTGTTTTTCAGATTTTTCTTCATATTTATTTCAAAATTTTACTGATCAATTTTTGTAATTATTTATTTTTTTGGTTCAGATGATAAGTGAAGCCATTACGACAATGAAGGATCGCGCTGGTTCAAGCCAACCCGCAATAGCGAAATTCATCGAAGTGAATTACACTGCTAGTCTCCCTGCAAATTTCAAGAAAATTCTCTCGGCCCAGTTGAAAAGGTTCGTGAAATCAGAAAAGCTTGTGAAAGTGAAGAACTCCTACAAGATCTCCCCTTCTGAGAAAGTGAAAAGGCCTGCAAATTCAGTTGAAAACAAAACCCATAGGAAGAAAGGAGTCAAGAATGTGGCAACAAAAACTACTGGTTCTAACAAAGAGGTGGTGAAAAAGGACGATGAAAAGGCAAAGAAGACGAAGAGGCTGAGCCAGGTTAAAACTCCAGAGGCTTTGAAGAAGAAAATAATGGGGAAAAAGAATGTGAAGGGGTCTGTTACTGAAGGAAAATTGAAGAAATCGAGTCAGGTTAAATCTTGTCTTCAACACCACGTTCCTTATGTGTGGACTGAAATTTTAAATTAATTTCATAAATGAGTGTTGGACCAGTGTATTCATTCAAACGTGGTCTTTAACAGGATAAGAGTCCCGCAGGATTAAATAAAAAGGTTGCGACTCCAACGAAGAAGGTGGCTCATAAAATGGCGAAATCAGGTTCAAGGCTTGCTGCAAAGAGAGCTTAAAATTGATGATTATGTGGTAGTTTGATCTAGGAAAGTTAAGTTTGTTTAAGAAAGAATGTGCTAGGTAATTTACTGGTTCTTTTAGGTAGTAATATTGCAAGTTTATGTTTCTAGGTAATGACTTTTAAGCTCCTGATGAACTTAGGTAAATATGTTTCATGTTTGGTCTTGTTTTTTTCAATGTATTTTGGCTATTGGATTGGGAAAAGTTGAAACAAACAGTTCTTGGAATATCGAGTAGACGTGACATTAACATTTTTCATAATTGAGTCATGCATGATGCATGCCTTTCTATTAAAAGTTAAAAAAAAGAAAAAAGAAAAAGATGAAAGAAATAAAGAGTGTCAACTTCAAAAATCAAGTTTTGCTGATATCTCTAAGATCCAGTGTGAAAAACAAAGATTGAAATGGACGATACTCCTAGTTGGTTCACATCCTTCATCTACTATGAATGTACTAGGAGCATCTATTGACAAAGAGATCATCCTTGAATGATCCTTTCATAGTAATTAAGAATGCATTAAATTAAACGATTTTATTTTTCAATCTTTCTAACTTCTTTCTATAGAATCAAGATCGTAAAATAGTCATTCATGACCATTAATGAAGATTTTTTCGAAAATTTAAGGATTGGTAATTCTTTTAGAAATCAAATGGATTCACACATATATCCAAAGAGGGGGGTTGAGTTGGGCTACAATGCTTTGGATTTTATTTATTTATATATCAGCTTCCTCCTAACTTTGTCCTTGAACATGGGCGGATGCAGGGACGGGCTGGGCCGTGCTACAGCCCGTCCTTTCAGCCCAAATGCCATTAAAAAGAAAAAATTTAAGTAAATTTTTTTTATACGTATTAGCCCGTGTTGAATTTTTTTTTTTGGATCCGCCATTGTACTTGAATACTTTCGAAATTTTAAATATAGTACGTGAATAAGCATTCGAGTTTTAACGCAACAAATGTGTGAAACATGCGACAATCCAAAGATTGTATAGTTGTCAAAATCTGATCTATTTTCCTAAGATTAAAATATAATTCAAACGTATTATTTGCTTCATTGAGCATTTTCATTTGCATGGCAGACGAAGACACGGTTTTGCACGTTCAAACCAGAATCCATTTATTAGTTGTTGGGATTTAGGAGGATGGCACGAAATCACGCGTCATGGGTGGGTATATTTATATCGAGTTTGGCTGTGCTTTTAAGCAACATTTATTGTCTTATTTTGACAGAGTGTTTCATCAAGATTCAATCCAGATTACGAATTTACGATGATATGGGATATTTACTATCCTGAAAAGGTCAAGAAGTAATCTTATTTCGAACAATCATGTTACATGTTACGTGGTGACACGTCATTGAACAGTTTAAATTTTCAATACTTGCCACCACTTGTTATATCAACATTAATGTTGGGATCATGCTAGATGAACATGGTCAACGTTCAAACAGCTTTATCCTTAATGTCAATTAAAGATCGTACAAGTGGCAATTTTATATTTTGACGATAGTGTATGCTCAAAAAATTCAGGGAGCAACTAATTAAAATGTTTAGCCAAACATACATTATACTTTATTTTTTAAGGATGGAGAAGCATTTTAAAACATTGAAATTTATGACGCTCCATTTCATAGTCAAACAGTCATTTCTTACCACTAATTAGTGAAAATACCCTTGATGCTGAACTAATTAAGTTAGTACAAGAATAATACAATTTTATGTATTTTCATAATTATAATTACATAGGATGTATTTAAGATGCCTCGTTTAGAATTGATTAGATTCTTGAAAATAAGTAAATATTGTGAATTCTATAGAATATATAAGTAAATATAAAATTTAATCAAATAATTATAAGTTTGGACAAATGGAGGATCCGGCCTTGCACCATGTGAATGGGCCATATTGATGCTTTGCAGTCAAAGCATATTCATCTTTTTCAGCCAAACAGTCACAAAAAGGCAAAAGCATAATTTATTATCATCTTGAGTTGCCAAACACACCTTTATCTCTTAAAGAAGCCAAGAAGATGATAAAAAAAAAAAAAACAAAAGGTTTAAGCTGTAGCATTTATTAGCCACCGACTCAACAACCTTCCTATTAATATCCCAACACTCAACAGCTTCTACTCCCAAACTTCCACCTGTTTTAAAATTCCATTCACTGCCAGTACATAATCTCGCTCTCTTTTTGAGAGTTACTGAAAACTGAAACAAAAAAGTAGAAAAAAATCCATGGAAGGAGTATCAGTCACCGTGTACAGAAGAATTACTCGATACTGGCGGAGGAAGGGATACGAAAAGCTAAACGGAACCGCCGGAGGCCGCGGAAGAAAATCACGTGTGGTTGAGCTAGCTGCTTCCGATGGATCTAGCCGTCGACGGCGGTTCTGGAGGATAAAATTGACTCCAAGGCTTAAGCTCAAGCTCAGATTCACGCCGAAGAAGTTTTTGAGCGGATTGCGTGATGCATACGTGAATATGATGATGAAACTCGCGAACACGAGAATGATCAGCACCGGATATTCCGGCGGATACTCCGGGGATGGAGTGACTGGATTCGGATTGAGACCGATCAAGGAGTATGATGAAAGGATGATTGTTGAGATCTACAAATCGATTATCTTGGCGCAAGGTCAATTGTTGCCTCGTGATGCCGCCAGAATGGGCTCCGGCATTGTATGCCGACGGTAATAATTAATTCTATTATCGTCAATGGACAAACTTTCAGATCAATTTAATTTTTTCCAATTTTTTTCCCGGAATTGGATCTGTCCTCTGTTGTAACTTTTAACAATAACCATGGAATAAAATGTGCAAAAAATACTGTTTTTATTTTCATGTTTCAGCAGCATGGCCATTGGCCTTAGAGCGGTAAAACTTACATGAGCTTTTATACGCATTTGTCTTTTGTTTTATCTTATTTTTTCTGACATTACTGTGTCTTAACTTTGCATATTTTGGCTACTGTTTCTCCACCTAACGTTTTTTCGTCCATTTTGACTGGTTGGATCAAGATACGAATAATAAAATCATCAAGTACTGTTAAGTAGATATAGTAATAGGAAGAGAGACTCGGAACTAGTATGCAATCTATTGGCTTCCATAAGGCGAGTTCAGACACAATCTAAAGATCGATAATTCGATTGGAAATTGAAAATGAGTGTCACCAAACATAAAATTTTTATGATATCTTAGACATAAAATTTCATCTTGTATCGCCAAACTTATATATAGAATTGTCAAGAAATGAAATTTGTGATAGCTAAGGTAATTTTTTTGTCGAGAGAGAATTTATTATGGTGGCCACAATGAAATCGCTGAAAATTTGACAGCGAGCCACCACCTCATCGAGCAGCCCATCCTCATCCAATGAGGTGAGGTCACCTTGGGACTTGAGTTGGGTCATCCGATGTGGTGATGGCTCTCCAATCGAATGTTGCACCACATAGAACCATACGATCGTCCCACCAATATATTTCTCCAATGTAGTAGTTGAGGATTGACGAGAACGAAACTATAAATTTGGGCCTTCCGAAAATTAATTATTCTATACATGCCGAAATATGTTGGCAGGGACTGGATCACATTATAATAAGGCTTTGCATTTAATGCCGCCGACAACTTAGGTTAATCGAAAGGCGAAAAGATGCTTATGTTAGTCAACCAAACTTGAAATTCCATTTTGCTTGTATTCTGCAGCAATTTTCGCGTCTACCATGTTTCAAGTTTATAATAATAAGAGGTATGCCGATCAGTGTGAGCACGATATCTACATGATAATGCTCTTTAGAGGAACGACTTATTATGCGGAGTTTATATAGAGCCTGTTTGGGCCCGATTTTTTCACTTAAAAAATTGATTTTTTGACTGTTATTCCACTATTTCAGCCGTTATATTTGACTTTTTCTCTCACAGGTGGACTCCACTTTTCTCCTAACGATCAAAAAATCAATTCTCAAAATCACTCCTAAACAGGCTCATAATGTATTACATGTTGATAGTACTAATGAGTCTTATAAAAATAAAAGTAAATTTGATCAATTATGAATAGATTATTAACGGTGCCAAACAAGCAATAAGCCATGTCTTGTGTAGAAAGAAGCAAGGTCAAACATTCTTGTGTATTATAATCGAGTCTGTACTTTCATTTTTCATTTTTCAATTTTTTTATTATTATTTGTTTTTTTTTGGGACTTCAGCATGGATGTTTAGAGAAGGGGGGGAAGAGGAATGAGTGACACCAATTTTTATGTTTATGACGGACTCTGAACCCAAATTTCACTTTTGGGCCCGTATCCACTATGTTCTTTCTAAATTGGTCCGAGAACTGAGTCCATAACCAGCTTAATAAATTATCGTAGTGGGCTTGTCTAGATAAACTTCGTGGAGCATTAGATGCAAAATAGAATACCCGCTTCGCACAACTGGGTTTAACGAAGCTCTTTGCTTTGGAAACAAAGACGGATTTAGGCGGGGCTGGGTTGGGCTATAGCCCCCCCATTCAGGCCCAAGAGCTTTTGTAATCATACTACATAGACATAATGACTGACATAATACTTGACATAATGACACGTGGTTACCTATTATTAGATTGTTTAAAATACAGTTATTTTTTTTTCAATTAATCACATCTTACCAACACTTATTATGTCAACCATTATGTCACAAATTTTCTGGCAAAGTAGCATTATTCTTTTTTTTAGGTATTTTTTATTTTTTGGTAAAAAACCAGTTTTTTATTTGTAAATTTTTTTTTTCCGCGTAGTAGCCCGGTCTTGGATCCAATCCTGGATCCGTCCCTGTTTGGAAATGTTATTCTTTCCCAAAACTCTTTCATGTATAGAACTAATGAATCGATATAAGAACTTGGCTAGTCTATAATTGATTTAATCTCTAAGATGCATGTATATGGGACCAATTAGTTTAATCTAAACCAATTTTTTGACCATAAATTTTATGGTCACTACGCATACACATCACAAAGACATGTCAGTATTGTCATAAACCAAGTCACCATATTTCTTGTAGAAAAAGTTTAAAAGAGGAGAACGACCGGAAAGGACGCACTTTTGATGTACCAATTATCGTGATCACGCTAAACTCTGGGTAGCCAAGTGCAGAGATCTCATGCACCCACAATTTTGTCAAATAGAAGATGTTTCTTCAATTCTCTCTATCTATCACATTTATGATTAAAAAACTTAAACTTATTCATATCACCTTCGTGGACTGAAGAAGACAAAAACTTTGGAGAATTGATTTATGACTATATCAAATTTCATTATCCTTTTTTTTTTTTTTTTTTTTCCTATGAGGGTTTGGTTGGTTGGGGGAGTGTATGGATATATAAATAAAAGAAAACTCTAAAGCGTCCTAAAATATTTATGGAAACTCACATTAATTTTTTTTATGAAGAATAGAGAAAATGATGTGAATAAAAGAGACCATGTGTACAGTGAAGATATGTAACATCAAAACCTGTTTGGCCAGGCTCAAAGCAAGAGAATAGGGTGTTGGGCGTGATATTTGATCTATCTCACCCCAAGAGCTAGCTCAAGAGGTGAGGCTTTTTGTAATACTTTAATTAATTCAAAAGAAAAGTCAAGCTAAAAAAAAATTTAAAAGAAAAAGAAAACAGCAGCCAGCTATGCCAAACCAACACATTCCCAATATATATATATATATATATAATCCAAATCCATAACACACACATTACACACACACACACACACAAAACGGTGCATAGAAGAAGAAGAGAGAAAAAGAGGGGGAAAAAAAAGGGAAAAGAGGAAGAAAAAGAAGAAAAAAAAGGAAAAACTCGCCAACGTGTTAGGAATTAAGTGTGTTATACTATTAGACTTGAATTTCTCAATCTTGAAAGGTAAGTAAAAGTTACTTATTGAAAGGTTATGTTTGATTTTATGGTTGTTAGGTTGTTAGATTAAATTCAATTTTATTGAAGGGGTTAAATATAATAAACTATGAAATTAAGTAAAATGAAAGAAAAATTAGTTTTAGTAATTAAAGAGACGTTAGAAATCGCCTAAACGTGAAATAATTAAGTTTTGGTATCGCGTATTTAATTAATGGAATTTCTTAAAATAGTTAATTATTGATTTACAAATTATATCATATTTCAAGCGGCAATACGGATATCGGGACAACGTACAAATCGAGTTGATTTTGGCGTACATAGTTCTGTGAGTGGAAAAATATAAATATTTTAAAAATATTTATAAATTAAGTATATTGTTAAAGTATGTGCAATTATGTATTCGAATTATATCGTTATTATGGAAATCTCTTTTATTATGATACACGTGGAATATCAAAAATTATTTATGGCATGTTTGTGACTTGGTATGTAAGAAATCTGATATTGAGATTTGTTTGGTATGTAAGATATGCAATATTGAGATCGACCATAAAAGTACCCATGATTATATACTTCTTCTAATTCACAGAGGGGCATTGGCCGTGTTCTATCCTACACGGAGGGTCTTGACCTGCCATTGGTCTTGATCGTGTACATATAGTTCACAGAGGGGCCTTGGCCGTGTTCTAGAATTGATTATGAGAGGTTTTTGAGACCGGCTTTCGTTTACGGAGGGGGCCAAAGGCCCGTGGCGAAAGTTCTTAACCCGAGAGGCGGATTATATATTTCAATCAGAGGGTACATTTTTGGTGGATTTTTCAGCACGTTTGATGTGATGAGATTAGAGCATGATTATCAGCTGATGTTAAATCATGATTTTAAGATGATATTTTATGACCTTATGTGAATATATCACTTTTGGCTATAATTACATGATGGTAGCTTGTGAATTATCAAATAATATGAATTTGATTTTCAATAAAAATGTATAAATGAAAAAAGTATATTTATTTTGAACTTCTCCACTCACTGAGCTATCAACTTATATATTTTTTCACGTTTTTCCTTGTCAGGCAGTAGTTGAGAATTTGAACATCTTTTGGAGTTGAGCCATGATTTTGGAGTTAGAGCCACACGACAAATTTTGTTAGTATGACTCACTTCATAGAACATGTATTCAGTGTTTTGGGACGCATGTTCATGTCTAGATGTGATTTTGCATCACTTGTAGATAGTTATAGGGCTCACTATGTATTTTGTATCCATATGTATATTTCATTTTATTTCTTGGTAAAGGTTGAGATTTCGGCTTATCTTTATTGTGTTGTGCTATAGTTTGGGATTTGTGTGAAATTGATCACAGGTTGGTTAGTCCTGTTTACAGGGGAGATAATGCCAAAATTCTGTTAGAAAAATGATGTATAAAAAGTGATATATTGTATTTGTAGTAGTCTTGATGGTGGGTCCGACTTTTAGTTGGTATCTATCCCCGGCGCATACCACGTCCGGATCTAGTAGCGTTACACGGGACGGGGTGTGTCAGTTTGGTATCAGAGCATGCATTAAAGTTCATGGGTTTGCATTGTACATGCATAAATTTTGATGTTTAGCATATCATGCATAACTGTAGGTGAGTCATGCCTCGTGGTGGCAAAACTCGAAGGCTCTAAGATATGTTGCCCCCAGTCTCACATTGCTCCTGATAGAGATGAATTGAGAGAGCCCGAGAAAGTAGATGAATCAGTTCACCAGCCTCTTGAACAACAGGGACAGGGAAACGTGATTGGAACTAATCCTATTGCTGTTGAAAGAATTGCTATTGCCGTTGCATCTACTATGCGTAATACTGACAGAGATTTTAGTATTGAAAGGGCTACAAAGTTAGGGGCTAAAGTGTTCACTGGCACAGTCGATCCTGCAGTTGCGCAGGCATGGATGACCAAGATAGAGAGGGAATTTGACG